GGGACCTCTGGAGGTGCTGTAGCATTGGACCTACTACCTAGAGAGGCTGAGAGATCTTCATCCTCGGGAGTTTTTGAAGACTCATCCGGACAGGGCTGCAGCCTCGTSCTGACCTGCTGGTGGTGACGGTCCTATCTCCAGCAGCTGGTGGGACAACACAGCCTCCAGCTAGGCTTTGTCAGCCAACAACCCCGTGACGAGTCCGACCCGAGGAAGGAGGGGGTTCCTTTTCAACCTCAAACTGGTAGTTGTCTATGTTTGTGTCGGCTTATGGCGTGTTTTCCATAAACACTGACATCCTCCTGTCCCCATTACCTTGGTGCAATCCAGCAGTGAGACCCAAGGTCTCCTGCACTGCCCAGCACAAAACACCGTGACTCAAGCAGTTAATAGCAGCAGAGCACTGCGGATAATTCTCACCTGTGCCTCAGTTTCCTCCCCCGCGAATTTTCAATAACAGGAAGCTTAATTGAAGGTTTCACACAGGCTCTTGAGATCTTAAGATGAGAGGGCACCAACGGAAGAGCATTAGCTACATTTCTCGTGATTTATTACTGCTGTTGGAGAGGGCGAACGTTCCCACAGCCAGGCCCGGGGTCCCGTCTCGCCTCTGTGTGTGTGAAAGCAAAGGAGAGCCCCTGTCTTGGAGCCGGGAGCCGCTCCGGAGGGAGGGACGTGGGGCTGCTGTGGGGCCACCGATGCTCCAGGGAGGGGGGCTCTGCCAGGGACACGTCCTGCATCCCCGGGGCTTGCGGAGCCCTGTGTGCTCACGGGCTGGGGACACGGGCTGGGGACACAGGGCTGGGGACATGGGCTGGGGACATGGACTGGGGACACAGGCTGGGGACACGGGCTTGGGGACCAGGGCTGGGGACCAGGGCTTGGGGACATGGGCTGGGGACAGGGGCTGGGGACACAGTGCTGGGGACACGGGCTGGGGACACGGGCTTGGGGACCAGGGATGGGGACCAGGGATGGGGACATGGCCTGGGGACACGGGCTTTGGGACCTGCCGGGACCTGCCGGGATGGGAGGGGACCCCCCTACCTGCGGCCCCTCCCTCACCTGGCCATGTGGCCCCACCCCCCGCCGCTCCCCATTGGCCGGGGCAGCGCCAGGCACTCCCTGATTGGCCCGCGCGGCCGCCCGTCGGGGTGTCCGCCCTATTTATGTGGGTCGGGGGCTAGGGCGGGGGGTAGCTGGGGGAGCGGAGGAGCCAGGTAGGACGTGGCCGGGACCGGGGTGATGGGTGACGGTGTCCGTGGGGTGACGGTGTCCGTGGGGTGACGGTGTCCGGTTCCCGGGGTCCCCTTGCGGCCCTGCCAGCTCCATGGGGTGCGGGACGGGAGCCGGCGCTTCCCGCGGAGCCGTCCAGCCCGTGGGGACCCCGGGCAGGGGCTGGGTCCCCCCCCTGGGGCTTGGTGGCGTTGGGTGGTGCAGAGCTTGACAAGACGTGTCCTGCCATCCCCGGGGTGCCCTACCAGGAGCTGCAGGGCTCTGTGCCCCCCGAAAGCCCCTCGGTGGCGTGGGGACGGTCCCCGTGCAGCCAGCGCCGCAGGGGCTGCAGGTCCCCACCCGCTCTGCCCACTCGCCACCACAGATCCATGCGGGATCACGGGACACGGCACGGGATGTTTGCTCCGGGTCCCGCGGGATGCCGGGGTAGTCACTGCCCTGCGGAGCAGAGGCATCGGGGAGCATTCCTGTCCTGTTGACACTGCTCCCATCCCGGCCTCCGGCTGCTCCAGGGATGATCCCTGCGTGCAGGCACGATAATGGCACCAAACTAGGGGGTGGTTTAAGTGCCCCCTTGGGAGCGCCCTGTCCCTCTGCAGCAGGACTTGGCAAACTCAGGAATTATCAAGACTAACAGGATCCTTAACTAAGGTTGTGACTACCTGAAATTACATATGGCTACGGAGAAGGAAGTCAATTATTGAAGCCAACTCTGCTCAAACTCCTATATAAAGCACCCCTTACAGAGGGCCAGCACCATGTTCCTTGCTCTGCAAGGTACAGCTAGTCTCTAGTCCCCCTCTCTTCATAGAAAACCAGCATCTACCCCCTTCCTGTGCCAAGGAGTTTTTAGTAACGGCCACTCATGTCAGCGTTTGGTTTCCTTTGGAACAGAGTGAGGAAAACCGTTCTGTGTGTGAAGTGCCTTTAATCTCTGGGGTTCCCTAGCACTGATGACTTCCAGAAAGGCGGTGGACCCCTTGATCCTCACGTCTGACAGCCCTTGGAAAACCGCCCCCCAGAACTGTCTGACCCTCCTAGAACTAACCCCACCGCAAGGCTGCAGAGCAGCAAGGTCCCAGACGCGCAGAGAAGCCACCAGCAGGCTGCTTCCATGGTGCTTGCAAGGGCAGAGCTGGTTTCCCAGGCAAATCAGAGCCAGTTCTTGCTGTGTGTGTGAGGTTCTGCCATCCTGACCGAAGCCGGGGGAGCTGCCGGCACCGAAGCGCTCGCTGCCCTGCCCGGCCGGCACGTTCCAGCGGCTCCGACGGCGGCTGCACCAGCGCGGGGCATCCCTAGTGCTGCCCTCGCTGCACAGACTTGTGCCTGGCAGGGCACGGCCCGGCTTGAGCAACGGTGCCACCCCAGAAACGTGCCCTCTTGTTCTGGAGAGATGAAACTACAAGTTTCAAGGAGATTTTCTCCAGCGGTGACATATTTTGGATGGAGCAATAGTATGAAACTTGTCTGCAAAACCAAGTTGGTGTGCTGAGTAAGGACTGGTTCRCTTTGTGCAACCACAGCAGGAACAGGGATAGTTTTTCTGCTCCTCAGAGTGAGGGTTCCCAAGCCCAGCGTGAYGACAGGCGAGTTCAGGGTTCCCCTTGAAACTGCCTGCACTGCAAACAGCCTCTCCCCAGGAGCACCAAACAGTGGCTCGGAGCTGCCGAGCGCTTCATCCTTCTCCGGTTCCCGGGCAAAACAAGGTCTGCTCTGCCCTTCTGCAGGGGAGGGAACAGAAAGAGAAAACAACGTCACGCTGCAGGCTCTGACAACTTGCCCGCGCCCCAAATCCTGGCGTTGCAGCACAGCCCCTYTCCACCCACGCGGAGCAGCCCGAGCCGTGTTCCGACACGACCGGCGCCGGCGCGGTTGCATCCGTAACGCAGCAGACTGGAGCTCTGYGGGGCTGGGAGTCCAGTCCACCCTCCTGCAAGCGGCGGCAGCTCCCGGCTCGTGCTGGCGGCCACGGCCCTGTCCTCCCGTCCCGGCCCCGCGCTCTCCCCGCTGGCCCTGCAGCTCGTTGAGGCTCAGTCCTCGAGCCCAGGAGCGACGTAGCTGCGGGAAGGGGCTCTTTCTTTGCGGCGCTGCCGCAAGAGCAGCGCGGGGCTGCGGCCGAGCCAGCCTACGCTGCTTCCAAACCCGCAGAYGTGATTAAAAGCGTCACTTAGGAGCTACCCGGCCAGCTCGGAGCATCAAAGGTTGCCGTGATACCCACAGGAAGCCGCTGTGTGCAGCCCAGCGCAGCCGACGTGCTGACGGGGCCGGCGAGCGCTCTGCCCGCGAACCCGCAGCCGTGCCCAGCTTGGGAACCCTCCCCGGGAGGAGTTCGGCGTTGGGGATTTTCGCTTGAAAGCTGCCGTGGCGATTCCAAGAACAGGAATCGGCCGGCGGGGAGGGGCAGGCGGACGTGGCGCCTCGAGCCCCGGCCGTGGCCCAGCTAGGCTCAGCTCTAACCCCGGCTCCCTCATGTGACACTGGCGTGTCCAGATTCCAGGCTCGAGCCGCGCTGGGGAGGGCAATACATATTCATGGATTGCATCATTTATTCAGATTTCAGTCCCCTCCTATATGAGAAGCCTTCAGAGGTTTAATTGCAGGGAGGTGAGGAGAGGGTTCCTGCCCAGCTCCGGCGGCTGCTGGGCAGCCTGGGAATGTAAACCTCAAGGCAGAACGTCGCAACCGCCMAACGCAGCCTGCTCTCTCCATAAACGCCCACAGCTTTCGGCTCTTTCCCAGAGCTTTGAGGCTGCTGCTGGTGCTGGAGTTGGCAGCAGGAGGGAAGCTGATAGTTTCTCCTCTGAGCAGGGGCGTAGAGAAGTTTCCACTTTAGACAGACTTTGATCTCAATGTCCTTTGCAGAAGATGCTCCAGAAGAAGCCTTCAAAGGGAAGTGGTTATAATTACTGAGCAGTTTTTAAGAAGATAAAACCTGCCCACTGCTGCTCCAGCATCTCTGTTTGGAAGGAGAGCAAAAGTCTTGCCGGTGTTTGTGTTGAGAAGGGGAAAACAGATTAATCTGGGGAAAGCCCACCTCCACATCAGCCAAAATTGGGAAAATCTGAGGGCTTTTCTCCCCACAGAAGCATTAAGCAATTTCACTGAGCATCTTTTTTTTCAAAAAGTAAACACTCTTTCTATTTTTAGACTCCATTGTCACCCAAAAACATTGTTTGAACTTACCGCGTTTCTAAAAATAAAACAGGGGAAAAAATGACTTCTCCACTCAACTTGTGGCAGCTGCATTTCCTGTCTTGCAACAGCCGCTGCGAGCGGGACTTGTCAGGAAGACGGTGGCGATCCGTCATGCCCGGGGCGAGACGAACACCCCGTGATTCACGGCCGAGCGCTCGGTCCTGGGGCACCACGGGCCTTTGCACGAGCACCTGAGGCCCTTTGGTAGAGAAAACAGCACCACGGAGGTGACAGCAAAGCAGCTTTCCCCCACTGCAATTTTGAAACCAGCCAAATCCTCTTAGCACCAAGGAACCATCCTACTTACTTTATTTCTGATTGCAGTCTCGGACTGAGGGTGGTGCCTGGTCAAAMGCTCGTGCTCTGTGAATAACGAAGCCTCTCAAAGACCCTCGCGCTCCTTTGCGAGAAAGATGAGTGCTTCCCTGAAGCTCCGAGGCCGGGATGGATCCCTGGTCCATCGCCCTCTGCTTTTCACCCCTGTTGCTAGATTTAATTCACCGGTAGAACCTGAGCTTGTGCTGTTGCTGTTACCCCTTTTTTCCCTTTCAGGTGCAGCTGACTTGACTATGGCGTCTGAAAAGAAGACCACGAAACCCGATGCACTAAAGGGCAAGGAAGAGCAGCAAGCGGTAGGTGCCGAGGCCGGACCAACTTCTGTCACCCTCCCAGATCCAGGCTGGGGGCTGGGGAAACATCAACCCTATGAGGCTGTGCCTTAATCTAAACCTTCGCTTAACGCAGAGCCTGACTCTTCTTGCTCAACAAACAGAACTCCAATAATAACGTCAATAATTCTGATACGTTAGCTGGTAGAGGTCCTGTTTCCAAATCTGGTCTTGATGGGGCTGAAGGGCTCTGTGACTCAGTTGTGACAGGGTTCCAGCTTCTAATTCTGGCTCGCCACTAATTGCTAATGATTTTCAGAAGTCCCTTCAACTGTGAGCTGGAGAAGGACGAGGAGATGGACCCGGCAGCACCCAGGACCTTTCTGGATCTACCCGTGGTTTGCATTSGCCCACCCAGGAGGCAGGGTGTCTCACGCCGCTTGTTTCCCCTCTCTTGCAGAGCGCTGTTAACAGGGTGACCAGCTTGCCCCTGCTGAACTCCGCCTTCAGCCTGGTCTCCTCTGCCTACAACCACGGCAAGGAGACGCACCCGTGCCTGGGCAGCGCCTGCAGCGTGGCCGAGACGGTGGCCGCCGTCGCGGTGGGCAGCGTGGTGGGCGGCGCGCAGCCCCTCCTCAACCAGCTGGAGCCSCAGAGTAAGCCAAGGGGCTGCAGAGACCCTGTCTCCAGAGGAGGGATAGTTGTCCCAGCTGGTTGCAGCTCTGCCGACCCCTCCTCTCGGCCGCTCCCAGCCTCTGGATTTGATGGATAAGGGRCTGTCGTTGGCAGAAGTGAAGTTTGGCCTCTTGTCAGGGGTTTCTTGAAGCTGGGAGGCAGAAGCTCCCTGCTCTGCCWCTGTCACTGGAGCAGTGAGCTCCAGGAGCAAGGAGACCGGGAAGGCAAAATGAAGAGTCACTTAGCCCTGACTCCCCTGTCCCGGCAGTGCTCGGTGGGGTGGAACTTGCTTTCCTGAGCTCTTCCTCGATTGCCTGTTGTAGGGTCAAAAAACCCTCCAAATTGGAGTAGAGGACTAAACTAGTACCTGTGCTTCTGCCTAGTTGCACTCGTAAATGAATACGCCTGTAAGGGACTGGATCAACTGGAGGAGAACCTGCCTTTTCTTCAACAGCCAGCAGATAAGGTAAAGCAAAGGTTTCGCTTGATGGGACTCCTGTGGGTGCAGAAGAACATGGGGGAAACAACTTGGGCAGCGCTGCTTTGCCAGGTCGGTTCCTGGATGGGCAGCGGGAGCCAGGGAAGGCATTGCTAGCTGGGGAGTGCTGGGGATCTGCCTTCAATGTGTGGAGATCAAGATTTCCGTGTGGAGATCAAGATTTCCGTGTGGAGATCAAGATTTCCGTGTGGAGATCAAGATTTCCGTGTGGAGATCAAGATTTCCATGTGGAGATCAAGATTTCCGTGTGGCTCCAGGTGTTCCCATTTCCCCAACTCTCTGCAAGGCTGCAGGCACAGCGTAGCCATGGGAAAAGCTACCTCAGGGAGGGAAACCCATGCTGGAAAAAAAGAAATATATCATCTTTCGTTGCCTTACCTTGCTGTAGATCATCTCGGACACCAAGCAGCTGGTTTCTTCCAAAGTGGTATCTGCCATGGATGCTGCCTGTGAGGCGAAGGAAGCGATGGCTGACAGAGTGACGGAAGCCGTGGACCTCACTAAGAACGTTGTTGGGGACGGCGTTAAGCTGACCAGGTCAATGGTCACCTCCACTGTCACCAGTGCTATGGAGGCTGCTCAGGGTGCAAAGGACCTCGTGACCAACAGGGTGACCGAAGCAGTGGACCTCAGTAAACACATTGTGGAGGACACCAGGTCAGCAGTTGCTTCTACCATCGTCAGTGCTGTGGAAGCTGCTCAGGGTGCAAAAGACCTTCTGTCCAACAAGGTGACCGAAGCAGTGGACCTCACTAAACACATCGTGGAGGACAGTGTGGGACTGACCAGGTCAGCAGTAGCTTCCACTATAGTCAATGCTGTGGAGGCAGCTCAGGGTGCAAAGGACCTTGTCACTAACAAGGTGACCGAAGCGGTGGACCTCACTAAACACATCGTGGAGGACAGCGTTGGGCTGACCAAGTCAGCAGTTGCTTCTACTATTACTGCTGCTGTAGGGGCTGCTCAGGGTGCAAAGGACCTTGTGACGAACAAGGTGACCGAAGCGGTGGATCTAACCAAAGAGGCTGTTCAGGATGGCGTTGAGAAGACTAAATCAATGGTCACTTCCACRGTCAATACAGCTCTGGATGCTGCATATGACACCATAAGTAGCAAAATGCATACGGCCCTGGAGCACAGCAGAGAGGCTATCCAGGAGAGCGTGGAGATCACAAGCGCCGTGGTGAACAACAGCATAAGCAAAGCCAAGGCCRTGGGCCAGGCCATGGCAGGCGGTGTGGAGTCTGTGCTGGGCATATCGGAAGAGCTGGTGGATCATTGGCTGCCCATGACAGAGGAGGAACTGGGTGAGAAAGGCTCAGCTGGTAGCTGTAAATGCAACCCCCCTTCCCCATGGCCAGAGAGCACCTGACGTGCAGGAATCACCTGCTGAAGGAGTCAGGTAGCTCTGAATGTCACCGGGTGACTCTGTGTCAACACTGACTTGCCACATGACGTGGGCCAGAGTTCAGGCGCTTGCAAGTTACTGCTCGTCTTAACTCTCAGGACAAACAACCAGTGGGTGCATGTGGCAACCCAGTTGTCATATCTGCTTATCTGAAGAGATCCCTTCGAGCTGGGGCTGATCTATCYGTAATCTCTGAGCAACTGCCAACCTCTCCTGCTCATACAACGAGTTTTAGCTTCCTCCTGTGTTTCCCAAGGGGTATCCTACCTTTTTGCCACTGGCGGGTCCAGGGCCATAGGGGACGGGGGCGCAGCGTAGAGAAGAGGCACCCGCTGACCGCTCATCTCTGTGGTTCCCTCTAGGTGAACTGGCCACCGCCGTGGAGGGCTTTGACATGGCCTCAGTGGAGGAGCAGAGGGAGCAGCAGAGCTACTTCGTGCGCCTGGGCTCCCTGTCCAGCAAGGTCCGCCACCGGGCCTACCGGCACTCCCTCGCCAAGCTGCAGCTCGCCCGGCGCGGYGCCCAGGACACCCTCTCCCAGCTGCAGCTGGCCATAAACCTGGTACGAACAGCACTGCCCCTCTGCTCCCCAGCCCGCGGAGACATCCCGGGGGACCGGCTGCCTGTCCCCTGGCTCCCTCGCTCCYGGGGACGCCCTGCGGAACGCGGTTCCGGGAGCTCCTGCTCGCACCGCGGTGCCGGTGCCTGGGCAGGAGCGCTCCTGCCTCTGCATGTGCTTGCGTGTACCTGCTCCTCTCTGCTCTTTTCCCCAATCAGATTGAATGTGTGAAAAAGGAGGTTGGCCAGAAGCTGCTGGATGGACAGGAGAAACTCTATCAGCTGTGGGTAGACTGGAGCCTGACCCAGCCCAAGGGCCATCAGATCAAAACTGCCTCRCAAGCAGAGGTACCCAAGAAGGGCCCAGCCCAACCTCCTCGTCTCTGGCTGGCGGGCGGCTCCTCCACGGCAGTAACTGAGCTCCATTTCCCAGCAGGTGGAGTCACGGACCTTGGCCATGCTGCGCATCATCACCCAGCAGCTCCATCCCGCCTACGAGAACCTGAAAGCCAACATCCTCGGGCTGCCCAGCAACATCCAAGAGGCCGTGCATCACGCCACCCGCAACATCCAGAAGCTCCACGCTTCTTTCTCCAGGGCTAAGTCCTTCCAGGACCTCTCCAGCAGCACCTTGACGCAGAGCCAGGACACTGTGCGGGAAGCCCGGAGGTCCCTGGATGAGCTGCTGGAATACGTAACCCAGAACACGCCTCTCAACTGGCTCGTGGGCCCCTTCCGGGCATCAGCCAAAGCATCGCAGGGCACCGACAAGGAGAGGAAATGTAGGCTGGTGACTGACCCGCACCCGGCTGCTCTGGCACGGGCTCCATCCCCACAGGAACCAAAGGGAGCAGAAGGGGTGCTAGGGGTAGGGTCACAGGTGCTAGAGGAGTTGGAGGAGAAGGTAGAGAAATACACAGAAAAGGTAACCAAATCAGCAACTAKCGCACCAAAGGAGGACCTCTGAAAGTCCCAGCTCTTCTAGGCAGGTCCCATGGCTAGAACTTCTATTTTTATTTTATTTTAACGTCTCACCAGCGTGCCTCCTGCTCGGACACCAGCCCAGCTCCRGCGCGGGGTCGCTGAGCTCCCAGTGAGACGCAGTTTGCGAGGAGACTTGATTGCCAGGGTGGGCTGCTGCTGGCACCAAGGTTGCAAACCTTCTATTAAAGCATGCTACTTTGCAGGGGGACACGGGGACTCGCATTTTAGCTTTTTTTTTTTAAAGTAAGAACAGCTAATTCTTGCTGAGAAGAGTTGTAGGAGAGAAGGGCTCTTAACACTTACTTTTAAAGTTGGATTTTTTTTAATAACCCCCTCCACGCTGCATCTTAATGATGCAACTTGACCTCCTTGAGAGTGTTTTCCCCCTGCTACAAGTTTAAAACCCTCCCTTAGACATTAGGTCCTGTCTGAGGGCGCTGCTTCCTACGCAACCGAGACCTGCACCGCCCAGGAAGAGCCGGGGACCAGGGGCTCTCCCGGGGACTGCTCTGTGCACGAGAGCCCAACACTTTCCCAGGGAAACACTCACAGGGTGGGATTTTCTTTCAAGCATGCCCAATTCCAGCAGGATTATTTTCTTCCACCATATTAATGACTCTAAGGGCCCTCTTTATGTTAAGAGTAAATTTGTGCATGAAACATTTTGCAGCCATTAAGAAGGTGGCTTTGGGGACAGCCTTTTCCACGAGCTCTCTACCACGGTTATGGGATATTTGTCACTAAACTAGGGGAGATAGGGGCCCCGTTTGCTTCCCCATAAGCAATGTTTTTGTAATCATTCTTGTGGTAACTTCTTTTGTCCATCTCTAACCCGTGTCCTGACAGGGGATCCGTGCTAATGCTGGAGAAATAGAAACGGGAAGACTTCCAAATAAACCTTTAACTGCTTCCACGTAACCCTGGTTTCTCATGGGTCTCTAAAGCCGCAGCAGCTCTGAAGAGCAAAGCCAAGGAGCAAGGCCCCGCGCGGGCCAGGAGGAGGCACTTCGGCCAGTCCCCTCTCCTAATTGCTCTTTTCCCTCCTGTTTTCTCTCCCCTTTGCTGGAAATAAAAGCCCTGGGGGGTCCCGTGCCCTACATCAGCTTCTCAGCTGTCCCTCCCTGCTGGAGGCTGCCTCCATCCCGGGGCCTTGGCTTTGTCCATGCGGAGGCTGCCTCCATCCCGGGGCCTTGGCTTTGTCCATGCGGAGGCTGCCTCCATCCCGGGGCTTTGGCTCCATCCATGCGACTCCCAGCTGCAGCCCGGCTCGCGGAGCGGTGTTCCCATTCCCGCACGGAGGCCAGACCTCGCCGCTGTGGAGCAGGACTAGGGGCCGGGCTAGTGCATCGGGTGCCGATCACAACCGCGGGGAGGCCGAGAGCCTCCGGCCTCAACAAGCGCTGCCCCCGGGAGCTCCGGGCTCCGCGCGGCTGCAGCTCCGGACGCCCCTGCTCCCGCTCCACCCCGGCCCGGCCCGTTCCGCCTGGGGAGCCGCCGCTTCCCCGCGCGACATCCRGGCCGGCGCGGCAGGCGCCGAAACYGAAAGCGCCGCGTTCCCACCCGTTGGGAGCGGGCCGCCGCTCCCCGGGGCYGCCGCGATGCCCGCGGGCCCCGCTCTGCGCACGCGGCCCCTCGCGGCACCCTGCTTTGGGGAGGAAGGGCAGGATTTGCTGACTCACCAGGGGCAGGACGCGGGCGGTGTCAAAGGTCTCCCGGTCCCTCTCCCAAGCCGGCACTTCCTCCTTCTTTTTTTWTTTTYCTTTCTTTTTCTTTCCTTCCCTCGATGTTTCACCGAACGAGAGGTTTTCACTGAAAGGCGCCAACTTCCTCAGGCCCCGCTTGAGCTCATTCATTAAGCAATTGGAGGATTTTCACGAGAGAGAAAAACAAATTGAAATTCCAAACTTTCCCCAGAAAGCCGCTTGTTGATGGCTATTTTTAAACACAGCGTTTTCTTCTGGTTTTCCTTTAAATAGAGGCTCAGTCGCTGCCAGCGCATCCCCGGGGAGCTGCTTCTGTCGTGCCGGAGGCCCCGGCCTCCCTCGCTACACGGACCTCTCCGCTTGACCTAACCCGGTGGCTTTGGTGAGTGCTCGGGGAGCTGATGCGAGTGGCCTGAAAACGGAGGTGGAAAGAATGTCCTGGCAGGGCAGGAGCGACTGGGGAGGACGGGGAGCCCGGGGCCGGCAGGAGGGTCCTCCGAGGAGGGGTTCTTCTCATCTGCCCTTTGCCAGGACGTTGTTGAGGTCCCTGCAATCGGCCTCTGCCCAAGGGAGGCCGCTGGCGGCGACGGGCAGCTGAGAGGCACCACCGCACACGTGGAGTTGCCCAAGGGTGGCTGTAGTTTAGCAATTATTTTAGAAGAGTTAATTATAACGAATGGGAAGCACCTGCTGTTTGCTCGGGAATAGGCCTGGAATGGCGTGTGGAGCACCAGGCCATCCAAAAGGGGTGCGAAAATACTGCAGACCTTGCGGGGAGCCTCCCTGCGTCGCCATTTCTGAGCATCCCCCTCTTCTCACAGGTCCCTCCGGCCGGTTCTTCAGCAGAGGGACCGTGCCCGGTTCCGAGATGAGCCCCTGAGCAAGAAGGACCTCGAAGCAGCGCAAGGAAAGCGGCTTTGCTCACGCGACCTCAATCCTCTCCATCCGCCCATGCTCCTGCAGCACGCGGCCTAGGGAAGCACCGGGGGAGATGACTCCGAGCGCCGAGCTCCGGCCGAGCTTTGAGGCCATCTTCCACATTCTGGCCCAGCTCCCCGAGGACAAACTGCTCAAGCTCAAGCTCAGGCTGAAGCACTCGGCGTTCAAGCCGCACAGCAAGCTGCTGCAGGCCATGGTGCTGCTCACGCTGGGGCAGGAGGCGGACGCCGGGATGTGCCTGGACGCTCTGCGGGACGAGCGGGCAGCCCAGTACGTGCGCGGSAGCAGGCTGGGTCTGGCGCGGGGGGACGGGGGGGACCCGCAGCCGCCGGAGCTGGACGCGGCCGCCGCGGTGCTGCTGGCCCGGATCTACTCGCTGCTGGCGGAGGAGAACCTGTGCGGGCGGGAAGCCATGGTCCGGGCCTACGAGAGGGTCCTGGAGGCYGGCGGCGACCAGGAGCCGCCCGAGAGCGTCCTGGCCGAGGCCCGCGAGAAGTGCGGAGGCGCCCTGGGCTTCGYGGGCTCGGGCAGCCGCTTCCAGACGCTGCGCTCGGAGCCGGGGATTGCCCATCCCGCGGCGCGGAGCTCGCCCGTGCCCATCGGCAGCGTGGCGGAGTCGTCGGGCCCGCGCACCCTGCGCTCCTCGGGCAGCCCGGCCTCCTTCATCAGCCGCTTCGAGATCAGCGCGTCGCCCACGGTGGTTGTGCAGGGCGGGTCGCTCCGCGGCCCCGCGCCCGGCACGGCCGCCCCCAGCACCAGCACCAGCCCCGCTCCACTGGATGGGTCCTGCCGCCCCGCGGTGCCTGAGCCCCCCACGCTGGCCCAGCGCGGCGCCGACCAGCCCGTGGAAAGCAGCGACGCTCCGAGCACGCATCCCGCCGAGCCGCACGCACCCGCGGCCCCGGAGCGGGAGGATCCACCCGCAAGCGCCACCGGCTCCAGAGCCCGGCCCGGCCCCATCCACACGTCTGCGGAGGGTGCTCAGGCCAGCACGTCCTCCCACGCTCYGTCTCCCACGCCAGCCTGCTCCCTTCCTCCTCATCCCCCTTCCTTCTGCCCCGCTGCCCCCGACTTCGCGTGTCCCCCTTCCCTCCACGCGCCCTGCCCTGCTGCCGCCTCCCCCTCTGAACCGCAYGCAGAGCAGAGGAAGTTCTTCACCTTCGTGGTCCTGCACGCCAACAGCGACGCGGACACGGCCCTGCGCGTGAAGGAGCTGCTGGAAGGCATGGGGGTCCCCGACGGCGCCACGTTCTGCGAGGACTTCCTTGCCGGCGGCCGCGGCCAGCTCTCCTGCTTCCAGGACGCCATGGAAAACTCCGCTTTCACCATCCTGCTGCTGACCAAGAACTTCCTCTGCCAGGTGTGCATGTTCCAAACCAACTCGGCTCTCATGGAGTCCATCCTGARACCTTCCAAGCACAACTCGGTCATCCCTTTTGTACCCAAGGAGAACCCCTTGGGAGAGAGCGAGATTCCCATCTTCCTGCGGGGGCTGGTGCCCTTGAACGAGAACTCGGCCGTGTTCCCCAGCAGGGTGAGGAACACCTTCACGCGCAGCAAGATCAGCGAGCAGAAGGTGCTGTGGCAGCAGCGGCAGCAGGCGCGGGAGCAGCAGCGGCGGCTGCAGCTCTACCAGGAGCACTGGCAGACACTGAGGCACCTCTCTGCCCTCAACCTCGGCTCGCTCCCGCAGGCGCCGTGGCCGCCGCAGCCGGGGGACGCGCAGCAGGTCCTGGAGCGGCTCCTGGCCCTCTGGCCGGCCCCGGGGTGCCCGTTGCCCACGGCCGTGCCCGCTGCCGCCGGGGCCGCCCCGCCGGCTCCGTCCCCTTCGCGCCCGTTTTCCCTGCCGCCRGAGCTGCCCGGCGCGGGCGGCGGGCACCACCTCATCATCCAGAACGCGCGCATGGTGCAGATCGGGGACCACAACGTGATGCGCGTGCGCGCGGCCCCCCGGGGCCCCGAGCACGGCGAAGACGACGGCGAGAAGCCCTGACCCGACGCGCGCGAGCCGGGGGCGCCCGGCCACCCCCTCGGCTGAACAGCGGCTAACCTCCTGGGACCGTTCTCGTTACTGCACTGTGAATAAAACTGGGTGCCCCTTTCTTGGAGCCGGGGAGACGGAACGACGTCTTTTCTGCTGGACAAGATGAGCTGCTGTATCCCAAGACTTTCTTTTCCCTGTGCTGATTGTCAAGTAATCGCAAAAAATATATATTTTCTTGGCTCTTGAGGGTTACTTGAAGACTTTATAAATACATTTAAATTAATTCATCTTGTTTCTCTAGTTCTTTCTTGCAGAATTGGGAACAGGACAGAGGTGGGGAGGTCAGGGTCAGCCGGGCCGCCGTTCCGAGCACCCAGGGCTCCGTGCAGGAAGCAGAGCCTGTGGGTGCCRCTGGGACCCACAGCGGGAGCAGCTGGGGCGCCTCCCGATCCCACATCAAATGACTGCCAAGTTCATAGAATCATGGAATCCTTAAGGCTGGAAGGGACCTCTAGAGGTCACCCCRTCCAACCCCCYGCACACGCAGGGTCACCCAGAGCACGGGGCACAGGCTGCATCCAAGCGGGATGGGAAGATCTCCAGAGAAGGAGACTCCACAACCTCCCTGGGCAGCCTGTGCCGGGGCTCTGCCCCCCTCATTGTCAAGGAATTTTTCCTTAAGTTCCTGCGGAACTTTTGGTGCTTCCATGTTCCTGGATCCGCTCCGGCCCACAAGGAACAGCCTCGAACTCACACGGAGCGCGTCCTGGCCGGGCCCTGTGGGGGGAACCCACCCAGGGCGGTTCGGGGGAGCCCTGCGGCCCCCATGTTGAGGTGCTGGGTGTCATGAGGGCCCTGTCTGCCCCACACCGAGGTGCTGGGCGCTACCAGGGCCCCATCCGCCCCACACCAAGAGGGCAGGAGGGGTCCAGGGGCCCCCCTTAGGACGGGGCTCCACCACCGGGCTGCATCTGGGCTCCGGATCAGGACCCGGCTCCCGCTCTGCTCCGCGGCCCTTCTGCTGCAGCCCTCGGTCAGCAGAGGTCCCGCGGTCACCACTGTCCGCTCAAAAAGTGCCGCTGGTGACACCGAGCTGATCGACTCCCCTGCAGGGTCCGCGGGGCCTCRCACGCTCGGCGAGCCCCTATTTTCTCCCCTTTACGTCACCCGTGTTTGCGAGGTCTTGAGTTACTGCCAGTCCTGCTGCTGCTCTGCGGCTTCCAGGGCACTCGCTGCCCTCGGGAGGTATCGCCGCGTCCCTCCTTCCCCATGGCCTCTCCTATAAATAAACGTCGTGCAAAACCCACGGGTCAAGTGGAGGCCGCTCCCGCTTGCCAACAACTTACAGGCCATCACAGCCAGTTTGCTCCAGTGGCGGAGGGGAAAACTCCCCAATCGCAGAATGGTCCGGAATGGTTCCAGGACTGCCATGGGCCCCAGCAGGATCTAGGGCCAAAACCYGCTCTGTGCGCAGTCCCATCGCTCYGATAATAAAATTGTTGAAACGTTTCGGTGCCACAACTGCCTGTTCTGCCTGCACCCTGGAGCTGGCCCGGGAAACACCCACAATAATAAGGATTGTTCACAGTAATTATGCCTAAAATCGTGCACTGATTTCTCCCACCCAGCAATTACCATCAACATTTAATTGCTGGCTCCTCGCTGTTAATTATGCTCTGAAAAAAAATAAAAGCCCTTTTCAGTCGCACAAAACCCTCTCCCGCCAGGATTATTTTTCCGCTGCTTATTGGGGAACTAACTCCAGTACCTTGAATTCTTCTGTCCGCTTTGGGGTTTACAAAGACAAGGTGAGCACAGGCACCCTGCTTCCTGCTCGCTGTGCGAGGCCTCGCTCACCACAGCGCTTCAAACACAGAGGCAGGACAGTGGAGGCAGTGCTGAGCTCTTACCCAGCCCCACACACAGGACACAGGCGGCATCTCAGGCAGGCAGGGACAATCCGCTGCTTCGTTTCCATGGAAAGACACCAGGAGCAGAGAGGTGTTCGAGGTGTCCGTGTTCTCCTGGATCGCGGGACAGAGCAAAGTCATGTGAAATGAAACACACTCCTGTTGCCTGCAACAGCCGAGTTACTTCCAGATCCAAACGGAGCATCCCTAGAAAATGAGGAGCTGAAAGTAGAAGCTTAGCAGCAAGGAGTCCAAGGCACTTGCATTCTAGCAGCCATTTTTTGTTTTATTATTTAAAGTTAAGAGCGCTCATCAGCTCACAAACTTACAAGTTCTGTATCTGCAGCTTAGTTCAGATTTCAGCCAAGAGGAGGAAAAAATAGAACAGATCTAAGCTAACTCTCCACTCTACGTCTCGATAAAAGTTAAACCTCCTTGCTTTATAAATAAAGGTTAACACTGCAAAAATGTAACAGCAGATCTATAGTATCTTTAACAGGCAGAGAGCATTGGATTATTGAGGCTTATGGATACGCTGGCTTATAAATACAAGTAGAGAAGCTTCGGTCGCACAGAGGGCCTGGCTGCTCATCAGGGCTCTGCTCTCCCAGTCTCGACCTTTCCTCAGAGCCCAGGGCAGCTGCTTCACCCTCCACTGTGTTTTCCACTCTGCCCAGGCCAAGGAATGAGGCCCAGGCTGCCAAAGCCCGGTCACTCCCGCTGCAAGAAAATAAACTGCTGGCACCAGAGCCCCGTGTTTATCAACAGCAACTGTTTACCACCAAGGAGGGATCTGTTAGAGGCAAACACCTAYCCTGAGACTATGGATTTAAACACTAAAACAGGTTGGGTGCAGGCCCTAATTTAGAAAGGAGCTTGCTCAAACAGCAGCCAAAGGAGATTTCAATTCCAATCTGTGAAGTAGCACCATCCTCGGTGGAAAAAAAAAAACCTACATGCCAACAATGAGAAGTTAACAGCCCATTCCAGGAAGGTTTCCAGAACAGGATAATTCAGAGGGCCTGCTGGGCTGGTACCAACAAACCTCAGAGGAATTGGAAGGTTCCCCTCCGTAATGCCCGGCCCCGTGGCACAGAGGGGACCTTGGGCAGAGGGGCAGCRTGAGGGCCCCAGCTCCACGGCACAATTGTGTTTGCACCCAGATTTTCATTGTAGATTTGCAGATTTTCTCCCCATTCATACAGACCAACACCTGCTGATGAAACTGTAACCACAACTGACCTTACTCTACCTTACAGGATTGAAGGACTCTTGCAGCATAGATAGGGCCTGGCTCTAAAAGAGAAAAAATAACCCAGCTTTACGCACAATCATCGCAATCTCAGGCCTTTAACACCACTTGCTACTTGGCCAACCAAAGGAAAAGGGACAAAGTAAATCCTCAGCATGCCCAGCCCTACCGTCATGCAAGGCAACTACCTCAGCACAGCACGAGCCGCTCGGCCACTCTGCTCATGTACCAGACCTGTAACAGGGGCAGGGGAGTAATTAGTTGGAAGATATTTTATTCCTCACTTGTGTTTCTATCTGTTCAGCACRCGGGATGGGAAGCCCTAGAGCACGTGTGTCGTGGAGCTGCTCCAAAGCGCAACTGCTGAGTTAATSCAGCACTAATGGGAGAGGCAGAAGGTCCCCGGGAGCTCCACGCTGCTTCCTCCTCACGGCAAGACGTCGGCGTGGGACAGGGCAGGGGATGCAGCTTCTCTGGACACAGTGTGCTGCAGACACGTGGCACCTCAAGGTGACAATGACAGGGGACAGGCACGAGCCTCTCCTCCAACCCCTGCACGCGCCGGCTTCACGGTGACACGAGGACACAACCTGCCGCCCGCCGCAGCACAGCGAAGGCCGTGGGCACCGCGAGGAGGGTGAGCCGAGGCCTGGGGCTGTGCTCCCTCCTTGGGGAAGCAGCTGGTGGGAAGGGCTGGCAGCTCCAGCTCTCCCACCCTAGTGCAGTTCTATGAAGGCTTCGAGCTCCTCGGGGATGAAGCCTTTGTAGGGGATCTTGTGCTTGTCCAGCGCGCGAGCAGCAAGGCACTGCAGGGTGATGTAGTTGAAGGGCTGCATCATGCTCTTGGTGAGCAGCTTCTCATCCAGCAGCTCGTAGGCGGTCTGCTTGAAGGCGTTGGTGGCGTCCATGTGGGCTCCGGCCTCCATGAGGGCGCTCATGATGAGCGGGCAGTTGTTGCGGGCCGCGATGTGCAGCGGGGTGTTGTTGTCGTAGTCGCGGCTGTCCGGRTCAGCCCCGCACTCCAGAAGCAGGTTCACAACGTGCAGCGAGGGGAACTTGCCCACCGGGTACCGGCCCACYGTCGTGGTATCCTTGTCCACGGCCATGTGCAGCGGCGTGAAGCCGTTCTTGGCCCTGGGGCTGCACTTGAGCAGCCGGTAGATCGTCTGCCGCTTCTGGTGCTCCTGCTCYGGCGTGCACTCCACCTTCTCCAGGAGGAAGACCAGGTGCAGGATAATGGCCAGCGTCTTGGTGAACTGCGCCGAGTCAACGACGGGGTCCTTGCCGTGCACAAGCGCCCGCTCCACCTCCCGCACCCCTTTGCTCAGCACGCCCATGAGGTCAGAGAAGCCCAAGTGCGTCGCTAAAGTGCCTTTGGAGCGGTCCTGGAGCACGTAAGAGAAGAGCTCAGCAAAGGAAAGGAAGCTGCTGGCGGTCATGGGGCTGAGCGGCTCCAGGTTGCCCTGCTGCATGTCCAGGGCGTATTTCCAGAGGTTAATGCAGCGCTCAAAGTTGCCGGAATCAGCATAGACGGCCCCTCGGTAACGGATGTAGTAGGACGTGTCGGGGTGCGAAGGGCCCAGGATGCGCTCCCGGATGAGCAGGGCCTGCATGCGCATCTCGTCGGGGTCGGTGATCAAGGCCTCCAGCTCCTCCAGCGAGCTCGCCTCGCGCGAGTAGTCGTAGGCCAGCACGAGCTGCCGCGGCTCGGGCTTCGGCAGGTAGCGGCCGCCCTCGCACCGCAGCTCCATCGCCCTGCGCCAGTACTTGTGCGCTCCCAGCAGGTCCCGCTTCTTATCCACAAACGTGGCACCCAGCAGCTCCAGGGCTTCCACGGCGGCCTCCCGAGTGCAGAGCACGCCCGGGAGCTGCTGCTCGTCCTGCGCGCMGGCCGAGGCGCTGCACCGCGCCGGCCCCTCTTCGGCACAGCCCCCGGGGGACTCCCGGCCAGCGCCACGGCCCCTCYGATGGCTCCCGCCTGACGCACAAGTCCCGCTCTGGTTCCCCGCGGCCTCCTCCTCGTCCTGCCGCAGCCCGCCCTGGATGAGGTACTCCACAATGTTGGTGTGCCCGGTGACGCTGGCGGCCAGCAGCGGAGTCATGCCGTAGCCGTCCTTCTCCATGCGGGCTTTGGAGCGCAGCAGCAGCTGCAGGATCTCCAGGCTGCCCGACTCGGCACAGTCATGCAGGGCAGTGTTCCCCTTCACGCTCCTTCGGTTGACGTCAGCCCCTTTCTCGAGCAAGTAACGGGCAATTTCCCGGTGTCCCTTGTAGCAGGAAATCATCAGGCAAGTGTGTCCGTGCCGGTTGGCCACCTCCAGGTCGGCGCCACGCTCACCTACGAGGTAGCGCACGATCTCCAGGTGCCCGTCAAAGCAGGCGGCCCGCAGCGGCGTGGAGTTGGTCAGCGTGGTCTGGTTCACGGAGGCGCCGTGATCCAGCAGGCTCCGCACCACCCCCAGGTGCCCGGCGGCCGAGGCCGCCCACAGCGGCGGCGCCCCTTCGATGGTCTCGCCATCGAAGTTGACGGAGCCGCCCTCCTCCACGCGGGCGCCGCAGTGATCCAGCAGGTACTCGACGACGTCGAGGTGGCCGTGCCGGGCGGCGATGAGCAGCGGGGTGCTGCCCCCGCCGGGGCCGTCGCCGCCCCCCGGCCCCGCCGTCAGCGCCTCCAGCTCCTCCCGGCTCCGGCTGCCCAGCAGCTTCTGCAGCAGCTTCAGCTTCCCGTCGCGGGCCGCGTTGTACACGGCCGTGCGCAGGTCCATGGCGACGGGGGCCGCGGCGAGCGCAGCGGCCTCCTCCTGGCCATGGACCGGCCGCTCCCGCAAGCCCCCAGCTCGGCCCGGGGCGGGGGAAGGCGAGGGGCGGCCGCCGGGGGAGCGGAGCCCTGCGGGGCCGCGGCGCCCACACACGGAGACTGCCCCTCGCCCCGGCACCCGCAACCTTCACTCGCTGCGCCCAGCCGCCATCTTAGGTTGCAGCGCGAGACAAAATGGCGCCCCGGCGGGGTGGGCGGGGGCGCGGCGCGAAGGGGACGCTGGGATTTGTAGTTCTGCTCCTCACCTCCTCCCCGGTAGCCAGCGAGGGAGGTGCTGCCTGAAGCCTCCGTTTCCCAGCAGGCAGCGGGGAAGGGGGGGTGCCGGAGAAGGCCGGCACTGTTGGGATCCCGCGCGGCACCTCATGGGAAATGTAGTCCTGTGGCGGCCTCCTAGAGCACTGCCTCCCCGGGGACGCAGGGAGCCGGGACCGCGTTTCCCGGCGCGCCCTGCGCGTCACCGCAGCGGCTTCTGGGAAGGAGCCTCGCGCTCCAGGGCTCCGTCTGCCCCTGAGGCGGCCGAAGCGGCCGGGCCGGGACGCGGCGTCCGCGCTCCGCGCTGCGCCCTGCAGCCCGCGCAGGGAGAGCGAGGCCACAGCCCCTGTTCAAAGCAGATGCCACTTTTTTATCCCACTTTTTTTAAACCCCTACAAGTTTCACAAGATGAGCAAATTTCATCCGTGATTTTATTTTCTATAAATTCCTACAAAACGATCAAGCCTSGAAATACAGTAGTGGGTGCAGCGCATTAGCACGCGGCTGTGGCGTATTTTTAAGCCAGGAATGCAGTTACTGTAATGAAGCATTCGGTTTTGGTAGCTTCAAAATGTACCGCGTTTTCTGCCAAGGACAGTGTTGTCCCATGGGGTAAACGCAGCACTGCCCAGAGCAGCATGAAATGGGCCCCATGGAGCCCTGTGCTAAGGGGCGCAACTTCTCCCATTCTTGAATAATAATTCTAAAAATGATAGGAATAAGGGAGGGAGGAAATATCCAGGTAGTAAACAGCCTGGCTTGGATTAGCAAAGCTTTGGTTACCAGATCCGATTTTTAGGGCATAAGTTCAAATTTAAGCAGGTCTAATCTTCCTGCGGGGAATTGGTGCAGAGTTGTGTTTTATTTATGCCTGTCCCTTCTTTCCAGGGAAATAAGATTAGCCTCATTATTTCCATTATTATTACTATTCTGTCCGTCATATTATTATGCAGCCCGTCCATTTAGGTCCTGCCTGGAATTACCTAGGATTATCCCGCTAATGCGTGTTGCCTTCGCAGAGAATATTGCTTTTGTTGCTAAGAAACTGCTTTTCCCTGACAGCGCGGGCCTCCTTTTCCCTTCAGCAGCTGCTGGAGTCACTGGGAGCAGCAGGTGCCCAGCGGGGCTCCCGGAGCCAAAGCCGACGTGTCCATGGCAGAATTCCCACCCCAGGTGCGGCTGTTGTGCGGCTGTTGTGCGGCTGTTGCGGCACCCGCATGCCCCAGGCACGCAGGGAAAATGCACAGCAGTGCCTGGGGAGGCCACGTGGGGCGGGAGCAGTTTTCCATATGCCCAGACAAGGAAACTGGCTCCGCGCGCAGGAATCTGCGTGGTGTTTCTGGGTCCTGGTGCAGGCACACGTGTGTGAATGTGCACCTAAGCTCGCGAGCTGAAAACTGCTCGCGTACGTAGCGAGGTGTCAGCAAAGCGTTTGAGCACGTGGTCCGTGTTGAACGCTAACGTGGGAGCGTTCCCCTCGTGTCTGCAAATTGTTCATTACACGTGAGTGGCACGCAGCTGATGCCCGAGAGCGTGAACAGGGTGGGCGGATGGACGCGTGGCTGCGTGCATGGGTGTACGTGAGCACGTACCGCATCCGTATCCRTATCCATGAGTATCCTGCGCGCGGAACCCACCGCACCTGGGCGGTTCAATGGTGCAGGTCAAGGCGCAGACACAGAAATACTGACATTTCCTCCCCCTGCTGTCTCCCGCAGGTTGCCATGGTGATCAGARGCGCTCACGCTTTCATCTGAAGTATCTATTAACCAAAGCTCGTCATAATTTGCCTTCCATGTAACGCGCGTGGAATTCACGGGAACACCACGCAGGCTTTTGAGGTACCACCCTTTCTGTAGGCGCCGCTCCCAGTTCTTGGATGGGCCATCGGAGACATCACAGGGCAGAAAAGCAGAGGATGAAAATAGGTTTCCATGAATAATTAAATTGCTTAGGAGTGAGAAATTTGGAGCATGAAGGATACAAGCAGTAGGGTCACAAAGGTATCTCACTATAGGTGCAAAGGGATGGGTATGAAATGCACCCCCSCAAAAGCAATTCTGCGTTAAGCATCATTGCAGCGGGCCAGATGCTCTCCCTCATACACAGGGGCACTTCCAGGAAAAGCCTGCTCTTCCAGGAGAAGCAGCCAGGAAAATTTCATTTGCAAGCTGCTAATCGGCGTGGATGTGAACACATGACTTAGCAAGGAAGGGCTCAAAACAAGCGTGTCCCCATCTGTGTCCTCCACGGGGCCCTGCAGGCGCCTGTGRCGGTTTCGTAGGGTGATGCAGATAAAGTCCCAGCCAGTATTCCCAGAATATACAGGGAAATTAAATACCCGCTGGAGGAAGAGCAGATAAAAAATGAGACGTTTTGACAAGGCTGCCAGATTGTGTGGCAGGAGGGTTAATTTTTTTCGAAGCTGCCATTTCATATTCGCTTTCAGACAAGCTGAATTACACAGTACTGGCTGCCAGAGGAGTTGCATAATTTTCTTCACAGAAATAATGACAGGGCACTTAAAAAGCAAGTGAATGGATGGCTAAAGTGTTGGGCAGAGAGTTAAGAATCCCAGGCTGAGACAGCACCTCCACTAGAGACTCCTCTTGTCACCTTGGGCCGGTYGTATGCCTTATTTCCAGTAACATGGGAATAAAATTGTTCTTGATGGGTCTTGTCTGTTTAGTTTGCAGGTTAGCCCTTCTGCACTTACAGGGCCTCAATGTAAGGGGTCTGAGACAACCATGACACAGAAAATAAATAGTAATAGAAGCGTTTGGCTCCATGGGGATTTGGAACATTTTGGGCATAAACAGTCCAGGGTCTCTCAGCTGTTATTCCAATTCTCTTCTCTCCATATGTGTACAAGTTTGGATCAGTGCTAATAGTTCCAGGAGCTTATAAATAATTTAGGAATGAAGTCCTTGCTGATTTAGTGAATGCCTGAGTTACTTCTGAAACGGTGACTGGGTAATTTGGATGCTTGCAAAAAATTTGTGCTTTGTGCTTAGCCTGTCAGTGCGTTAAGGGCTAGCAGCAAATTGAGCGGAGATCCTATTTTTTGCAGACATGTGTACCAAATTATTATGAATCTGCAGCTTTTAGAGGTTTGTCTAATCTCCAGAAATCAGAAGCAAGATGGCCTCTTGCTACTATGTCAAATGAAGACAAGATCTGCTGTATTTTAAAGCAGCTACTTGAGAAATTTGCTGTACAAAGGGAGCAATTCTAAAAATAGTGAGAAATGGCATCCTGACATTAGCAGGAACAATGACCCAATACCCAACTTGCCGCAGGGGCTTTTGTCCTATAACTACCTTCATCATTAAGGCTTGTGATGACATTATTATCTGTGCTTATATAGGGCACTGAGGTCATAGCTACCTGGAAGGAAGGGTTTTGATCAGGCTGGAGGGGATGAACAAGCAGATGTTGGGTAACACTAGATCAATGTGCTTGCATTTACATGAGACACCAGCCTGGCAATTTTAACATTAATGGTTGCACCGCTGCCCTCTGAATTTTTGTAGATTTAATATATCAGTGGGAGAGTGAAAGAAAGGGGGAATGTGAGTCGTTTGTCCTTATGATACATGGACTTTTTCTTTCATGCATCATCAAAGAATATGATTTGCACTGTCGTTAAGTTCCTTTGGCAGTAGATTTCCTCAGATAAGTATTGCCCTGCTCTTACCCCACGGATTATCTGCAGTGATAAGAACGATACTTCGTGGCTTTGGCAAGACTGGGGAGCTTCAGTTCTGCATCAAGTATCTCTAGAACAGAGGCTCTGAATGCTATGGAAAATTTGCCCTTTTTTGTGYGTATTTTTAAAACCCTGCAGGAAACAAGGCTGGGCTTTTCAAACGCTCCTTTTGGACGTCGAGGTGCAAGCAGGAGCCCTAGTGCCCAGCAGACCTGTGTCAACTGCCGCTGAAGTCCTGGTTCTTCCACAGGTTTGTTGTGAAGCTTTTGAGCCAGTCAGCCATTCTTCATGTAGAACATGAAGATAATCATATTTATTTCTACAAGAAATCGCTTGGCAGTTAAAAGCGAGTGCCATGCTCATGGCTGCAGGACGAGCCCCRCAGCTTGGTGCTTCCTGTGGCTTCATTCAGAGAGCCAATGTGGTTAACTTCAAAAGGATGAGAACTGCGGAGCAGAGCAGGTCCCAGTCGCTGCCAGGGCACCAGAGCATGGCATTACTCACGTGGCTGCAGCAGCTCCGCGCGTACGGGGCTCGGAGCAGGCGGCCGGCGCTGTGCGGATCTGCGCTGTATGGAGGCTATGATTTGTTGTCACCTTTATACATCAGAACAACAAAATCACTAGTCTTCCACGCAGCGCCAGAACACCAGGAGCAGCGGGGCCTCCTTGGGTGCATCCTCCTCCATTTCTTCTGTTACGCTCCCGCTCTGGTTCACAGGCATTCAACACTTGCTGTAGGGGTGGACGCTGACTCTTTTTGCATGTTAGGGAGTGCAAAAAAGAAAAGTATTCTTTGTGAGACAAGGTCTCTTCTCACTATCATCATCTATCCATTTTTCTGACTATCTCTGCTTTTCTTCTCCACTTTCTCACGTAGGAGCCCACATATGCCTAAAAAGATTGGGATCATATATGTTCAAGGATGTCGGGGCTTAGTGGGGTCTCGTTTTCCCTTGTCCTATGATAAACTTCTCTCAATGCTCTGCCAACCTGCCTGTCTCCCAGCTGCATTTGGGT